CAAGCGGTCACCCAATCCCAGGGAGTTGACTTTTTTCGACCGCTTGTCCACCCTAAAAAGAATGTTCAAACAAGCGACCACACCCAGCCCGAAGGCCTTAATCATAGTGGATTTTTTTCACTGAATAACTCGAACACTTCGACCTGCCATTGACGTAAAATAGAAACACACCAAACACAACAAGATAGAATAGTAATCGATCATTTTCGTTATTGTCACCAAATTCATAACTATGTCGAACAAGATAAAAAAAAATAAATAAGCATATTTTTTTACCTTCCTTTTCTGTTTGTACATGACGACATGCGTTGCCATTTACTCTTTGTTTTCCACTTGTCACCGCAGCCAAGCAAGTGTATATAAATATCCAGTCCATATATGCACGTGTATTTTCCTCAACAAGCATTCAAAACATACCATTATTCTTATTTTATCCACATCATCCAATTTGCAATTCTGATAGCAATAAGAACAAAAGTTGAATAAATCAAAGCAGTCAAATTGGTCCACGTGAATTTATACAATACCTGATTAATATACAAACAAATCTCTTTAGCACGATATGCAATCAAATGAATGCTCACTCAAAGGCACAGCCGACCTAAATTTCACATAATAATTAATTCAACAAAGAATGACAGATACCAACAACCATTTATTTAATGCACAAATTTCGGCCGCACACCAACAGTGGCGGAGCCACACTTTCTTGCTAGGGTCAGCTGACCCCTATGGATTTCAAAATTTTTAGTATAAAATACTGTTCAAACACTGTTTACTAGGTTAATGACCCCGCTAAAAAATATTGCCGACCCCGGTGAAATTTGAGGCTGGCTTCGCCCCTGCACACCAAGATCACTAAATCAAATTAAACTGCACTCCCCGACTTGTTGCAAAACACCAAAATTCAAACAACTTGCTTACCAAACGAAAATTCAAATGAGTTTCTCTCAATACCAAGCTCATTATTTAAATTCAATCAACTTCTTTGAGCTCACCAATAAAAGATGATAAATGCACCAAACAAACGATAAACATAATCACAAAATATTCTTAATTTGAAACTACGACCCACTAATTAGTGCTATGTAAAATATTTTTTTGCCTCTCCAAATGCACCGAATAAACCAAATAATTTTTCAACGATTAAACCCAATAAATTTTCAATTATCACAAATTTGTAATTTCTTCGAACCCCTAATTTAAATTAACCCAATTATTTCATCAGCAGAACGTTATCTCAAATTACCTCACCGTTTGTGTCGTATTGTCTCGTACTAGTCTTGGGCCCAAACCAGATCTGTTGGACCATTTGGGCTCGCTAGAAGAGTTTAAACATCAAATTGGTCGTATACAGGGCGATAGGTCGTGTTGTCGTTGGGCCTCGGAAAACCCGTTGTTGGTCTAGGTTGAGAGGCAGTTGAGGAGGTGGGCTGGGCGTGGGCCTCAAGCAGACCGCACGCGGGTTGAGGGTGTGAGAGCTGTGGGCTGGACGCAGGTTGAGGTCGGGCTGGGATGCGGTCCTGGTGCTGTTAGAGATACGGGCCGCGCGGGCTGGGCCCAACCCGCGGTTTTATTTACTCTTAAGTTATACACGAGGACTAGGCCGTGATGTTGGCTTCTCTCCTGGACTGAAGGGAGCAAGATCTTAGGCCTCTCGCATTAGGCTGGTGGGCTGTGCAGTGTGAATGGACTCGCGCCAAGGCTGAGCTGCGAGCACAGCGACGGCAGCTCGCCGGACAAATGCCACCGGAAGACGTCGCCAGTTCTGGTGAACATAACCGGCCGAGGATGCGCCTCAAAGAGGAGATTCCGATGATGTCCTCGGATTGAAGTGGGTTTCCGGAAAAATGCGACCTTCTCTTCTTCAAGATTGGGTTCAGTGTAGTGGGTCCTTATTCGCAAGGAAGTATCTGTAAGTCAAAGGGAAGCGCTTTTTTGACCGACTTACCAACACCCACCTTGTCAAGTAAGTCGGTAGCAGCCCAGTTCGCTTCGGAGGAATAAAAGTAGCTAGCCCCCTTGGTTGGTTGGGGTCGGTTCTTTCCCTCAACAAATCGCCGGGAAACTGAAGAAGATGATCGAAGTTGACCACAATTTTTTCTAGATCTAGAAACGTTGACCGATAAAATTGACGGCCTTCTCGGTGAAATTTTTGCTTGAAATTTTAGGAGTAGGACGAACACGAGAAGAGCTTCGTGCGGATATAAAATTTTTGCGATCGGAGGATTTTGGCTGGCAGTGGCATCTGGCGAAGGCTAAGTGTTGTAGACTCGCCTCGATGAGAGGATGCCAACAGTACTCTCAGATTTCGGTAGCCGTCACGGATCCCCATGAAAATGTATTTGAAGGTCAGATGTTGAACAAAATTCACTAGATCCAGAATGTTTGACCGGCAAAATTGAATGTCTTTCTGGTGGAACTTTTGCATGAAATTTTAAGGGGAGAATCACCTCTATGAGATCTACACGGTGACATTGTTATCATCCGGATCGGTAAACCTACATCAAGAGATTCCAAACGTCACATTAAGAGGAAGATAATCATTGAACCGACGTGATTTTAAACACCACCCCGGTCCAGGCGACAAACCGGACCGAACTACCGAAGACCGAAGTGGTCAGCATCTACCGAAGTCAGCCTCTGCCGAGGTCAACATGAACCGAGATTGTCACCTCCTTAAGCAGGTGACAAGGTGCCTACGAACAACCCTCCTGCTCCACAAGATCCGTCATCATTTATGTGGGACCCCCTGCCTCAAACCGCCCACAAAAAATAACTTTATTCGAAAAAGTAATGCACAGATCCTAATGTATCAACCCGAAATTACTATAAATAGCGGGCCCATGACATTTGTAGGGGGATCTCTCTCCGAACTGAAAAAAACTTTACTAAGCAACACGTAAAAGCCCATCACGGCTCTTCACCTCGGTTCACCTCGGACCGAGGCCATTGTTGGTTTAATCTTACATGCTTTACGTCCAAATCATTCCAAATTATCCACTTAATCACAAGTTACATCGTTGTTAAAAATCTCATAACAACAGACATTAAAAAATTTCTGATCAGAGAATTTTGGCTGCTGGCCGGCAGGATGAAGAAGGTGCTAAACAATTTCTGGAACATTTCGGCCGGAAATCCCTTTGCCTTGGATTTCTACACATCTTCTATTACACATGTTATATGATTTATTCAATTTTTTCTATTCTACAACTAATTACAATCTTACACATGTCAAATTATACTACAAAACATTATCATTGAAGAAACAATTTTTTTATTTCCTTTTTTCTATATGCACATCTAAGAAATTACAATCTTACACATGTCAAATTATACTACAAAACATTATCATTGAAGAAACAATTTTTTTATTTCCTTTTTTTCTATATGCACATCTAAGAAATGGACAATATGTGGCATCGACACTTCTTCCTCATATATCTATTTGACTCCACTGCCCTCTTCTCGATTGCCAGCTATACTGGCAATCCGATCAATGTTGATGCCACTACGGCCATACGGTCGAGGCTATCCGTCGTGCAGGTGTGCATCGAGATAGACCTCCATGGTGAGTTGAACTGTGGGACTTGTGAATGCGCTCAAATAGTTTTAACCAGGTTTTACCATTTTGTTTATTAACTCGTGCTAAGGACCCATTATACCAAGTCCGGTTGTGGGTCGACCCGGGCAGGAGCGGTCGTGATAGAACAAATACACAAACAATAATGCTAATACGTTTACAATGGAGATTCATGTAACACAACGATTAAATATATAAGAATAGTAGTTATATACATAAGAATAATAATTAGGGTAGCCATCTTATATACAACACTTATATATTTCGGGTAATAATTATATATGTACACCAAACTATATACGATATATAAATGTTACTCTTAAGATAAATACTTTTAAGGGAGTTGTCTAAATTTATTAAAGCTTTTGGAGGTCAGTTTCCTTAATGAAAAGTCCATGAAAGCCGTAGGGCACCCGGCGGGGAAGCTGGACGGCAGCTACCGTATCAAGATTAGGAGACTTAGCATCCATGACTAGGAATCTTGATTCCCCCGTTTTCTCATTATGCACGTAGGTCACGACGTACCCATCATCCTCGTCAGCATTCAGGTTGTCGGGCTCCCAGGCCACAAAGAATGGCTCGCCACCAAAGCAGCCCGGCCCGAAAAGCCGGCTCGCCACTATGCAGTCACGGCGGTCGTCTTCTGAGATTGAGAGGTCTAACTTCACGACTCCGGATACTTTTGGCATCGGGTCCCCAACGGCAGCATATACGTATCTGAATGATATATATCCATATTAGTGGCTATGTTGCATTCAGTTAAACATGGAATGATAAAATTTTACCATGCCTATTTTTACAAAGCTCGTGTATTTGCCATGCCTATTTTAAGAATGATGAAATTGGTCCCACAATAGTAACGTTTGTACCAATAAAGAGGGAAAAAAATAATAATAAATGCAAGTCAGGAAGTGTGAGAAAATAGAAAACGTTGAATTATGTCATGTCTCCTTTTGTCCTAAAATATCCCAGATATTTTTTTACAATTACAATAAGTACTATTATCGTGCACCTGAGCACACCTATCAAGGCGTGCTAAGGCAGTTTAAAATGAATATATTACTTTATAAAATGAACATGTGTAAACATGTTTACACATGTTTATTTTATAAAGTAATATGTTCATATGTACCGAAAAAAAAAAGTAACATGTTCATTCTATAAAAGCATTGGCACACCTAGCTAAGTGTGCGAGGGCACGGCGAAGTATTTGCAAATTATAATAGCCACTCATTCTTCATATAACAAGTAAACGTGACTTTATCCGAAACCTATCCTATTTAAATGTGTTGAAAGTGAGACGGTCAAATTATTAAATTAAACATAGGTCTTCTATCATACTTCAATTATAAATGCTTTCATTTGAAAACGTACAACATACGTCTAACCATTAGGCTAAAAAAATTTAAACATTATTAAATATAAAAAAGAAAATATATATATGCTTCAAATCATAGTTTTTTGACCCGGGTATATATATTTTTTTATTATTTTTTCTGTTTAAAAAATAAAAATTATGTATGTATGTTTATATGGTAAATATTTATCATGAGATATATATATTATTAACACTTTAATGTACAAATTTTATGCATAAAATATTTAATTTTGTTACTTTTATGTATATCAATATGACAAAAATAATCTGTATATAATTTTAAAAATTTTAAAATTAATTATCCAGTTTAGCAATTGACCCGATAAACCAACGATTGAACTGGTGACCGAAGACCTGCCGGTCCGGGTTGGTTTAAAAAACTATGCTTCAAATTCAAAACAAAAACAGAAAAAAAATAATAATAATAATAATGAAGGAACACAACGTACTTGTGCTTTTTCCCAAGGAAGGCAGGATTAATGACTCCGAAATCGAGGTTTCTGGTTGAGACGGGGTGGCGTGACACCGTACCCGTCTTCATATCAATCCTCACCTTCTCAATGGACGCGTGTATCAGATCCAACCGCTCCAGCGTGTGCTCCACCGACAGTATGTTTGGCGCCACCATCACCACCGTGTCCCCGCCATCCTCGTCCCACGCGCTGATCGCGTGCACCATGTTGAACCCCGGCACCTCGAACCACCGCATCCCCGACTCCCCTACCGCGTCCCTCCGCAGCACCCCTATCCTCGGCACCTTCCCGGCGTCCGCGGCCACCGGCGATCCCCCGCCCACCATCCCCAGCGGGTCCATCCCGATCTGCATCTCGTTGAAGATCGCGTGCGTCTTGGTCACTGCAAAGTCGTGAAGGAAGCTCGGGCTCGTCATCGAGAAGATGGGGACGTCCGCCCGCTTCTCGCCGTCGGCGCCCACTGCGAAGTACGTCAGGAACGGCGGGATTGGGCCGTAACGGAAGGCAAAGGTTTCGCCCGTCTCCGGATCCATCTTGGGGTGGGCGGTCATGCTCATCGCGAGCTTCCCGCCGAAATCGTGGCGGCCGATGGTGTGGATGTCGCCGGTGACTGGGTCGATTCGGACGGCGTACGGAAGGTCCGACTCTCCAAGGGCATAGAGGCGCCCTCCGATCATAGCAAGGCTGGTGTTCGCCAGGCCGATGCCATTGGCCGGGTTGAAGTGGCCAGCGAGGAACCGGGCGGCGGCCAAGGTTCCGCGGGCGGCGGAGGCAGAGAGGCCGCTGAAGCCGGAGAAGACATTGGGGACGACGGGGCAGCCGACCTCGCGCTCGACCCGGTACTTGTACGTCTTGACGTAGCGGCTGCAGAGGGTGGCCCGGCCCTGGGAGATGCGGATGGCGTGGAGCATGCCGTCGCCGTCGAAGAGGTGGTAGGGCCCGCGGGGGAGGAACTGCGGGTTGGGGCCATTGCGGACGTAGGCGCCGTCGAGGGAGGGGGGCAGGGAGCCCTCCACCACCCGGCACGGGGTCGGCGGGAGCTCCCCAACGGGGGCGAAGTTGCCGGAGAGGACGTGGCGGGGATCGACGGAGGGCCTCCGAGGAGGGTCGACGAACGTGTTGATGAGGTTGTCGAGCGCGTTGAGAAGGGCCGCGGGGACAGACCGTGGTGGGGGCGGGGAAGTGTTTTTGAGTGGGGGAGGTGGTGGTTTTCTGGGTGTGGTGGTTTTCGGCGGTCTGTACTCTGTTTGGAGTGCGGTGATATGAAGGAGAGGGGAAATGGGAGGGTGGGTGAGTGGGTGCGTGTTTGATAGCTTGGAAAGGAAAGGGGAGGAAAGAGAATCCATTTGTTGTGGTAATGATAATGGATGAAAAATGAGGTGAGGAGAATAGAAAAATGAGGTGAGGAGAATAGAAATATGAAACTAAAGCTCCTTTGGGAAGATATTTCTATTTTGTGGGGGGTATTTGTCATAGTTTGGAGCCAAAGGATGTGGCGAAACATGACAGTACATACAGCTTTCAGGGATGGGTGTGATTTACATTTGATGGGTCACTACCTAATCAAGGTAAAATTGGTTAAGAATGACTCCGATTTGTCTCAGTGGACTTACAAAAACTATCGCCGGAAAAGTGTTTTTTTTTTTTTGGTAGCCAACCACGGTATTTGGAGCTATCCGTGGTGGGTGAGTCTTCCAATAAGGGTTTTCTGCATCCACAAGGACTCGAACCCGAGACCTTGCTTAAGCGACATCAAACTGTTTACCACTTAAGTCAACCTCTGTTGGTACCGAAAAAGTGTTTTGATAAGGAGACTCTGATACTTAAATCAGCACAAGGATTATGGTAAAGCTTTGTGATATGGTGAATACATAATGTGTGTGTAGAAGGGGCGGACGGACTTACAGTCCAGGGGGGCACAATCTCCCTAAAACTTTTAATTATTAGGGAATACATAATGGTGAATACATAATGTATGTGTAATATATTAGTTATTAGATTAAGTATATTTAATTATTATTATCTGCATTAATCAATTAACTAAAATATATTGACTAAGATTATGTGGACTAGCACAAGCCAAGGCCCATTACACAAACATATAGAAAATAAGCCATGAAGCTCATTTAATGATTTAACTTCCATCTTCTATTGTATTATATATAATATTTCTTTTAACCAAATAAAACTACTCTAATTAACATATAAAAAAAAAAAAAAAAAAAAAAAAAAAAAAAAAAAAAAAAAAAAAAAAAAAAAAAAAAAAAAA